ATATATATATATATATATATATATATATATATATATATATATATATATATATATATATATTATAATATATATATCGCGCGCGTGTGTGTATAAATATTGTGTGTGTGTAAATATGTATCAGTATGTTTATATGTATGCAAACACACATTTCACACACTGAATCTTTTGCTGTTGTTACAGTTTTAAGTTAGAAAAAACAGTAGGATTTGTGCGGTATTTATTCTTGCAAAAATATAGATTCTGTGCCAAGCGCTGGAATATACATGCGTTTACTGAGGAGAGCCAGTTGAGGAGGCGAACGAGAGTCCGTTTAGAAAGGAGCGCCGTAGGAGGCAGAAGGGGCGGCAGGGACTCCGTTGCCGTTCCCATTGCCATTGAAGCCATTGCCGTTGTATCCGTTGCCATTGCCGTTGAAGGCGCTTCTCCCATTGCCGTTTCCGTTACCATTAAAACCATTGCCATTGTATCCGTTTCCATTCCTTCCATTTCCATTTGTGCGGAAACCATTGCCATTGTATCCGTTTCCGTTGAAAGTTGCATTTCCATTTTCCATTGTATCCGTTTCCGTTGAAAGCGCTTCTTCCGTTGCCATTTCCATTTGTGCGGAGACCATTACCGTTGTATCCGTTGCCATTGCCGTTTCCGTTACCATTACCATTTACACTATTGCCGTTATAACCGTTTCCATTACCGTTGCCGTTCCTTCCATTGCCATTGTACCTGTTACCATTTCCATTTCCATTACCGTTGAGACCATTTCCATTGACACCGTTCGCTCCGTTGCCATTAGAACCATAGCCGTTCCTGCCGTTGCCATTGGAGACTCCGTTGCCGTTGCCATTATAGCCGTTCCTGCCGTTGCCGTTGAAGCCACACCGTTGCCGTTGCCGTTTGAGCGATATCCATTTCCATTAGTGGCTCCGTTGCCATTCCTTCCGTTGCCATTGGAACCGTTCCGTTAGCTCCGTTCCTTCCGTTTCCGTTCCCTCCGTTGCCGTTGGATCCATATCCGTTTCCGTTTCCGTTGAGGAGGCCGTTGGTGGCGGCAGCATAAGCATAACCGGCGTCGGGAACGACTCCGATGAGCTCGTTGACGGAGTAGAAGCTCTCAGAGAGAACAGTCCACGTTGAACCACCAGTCACATACCAGGTACTGCTGGTTGAAGATGGTACCGTTGGGGCACAGGAAGGAGTCCTGTTGGCGCCTGAGGGCGCGGTCCTGGCAGATATGGAACACCTGGCAGCCGGCTTCAGCTGCAGTGTCGGCGTAATAACCTTGCACCGCCTGGTCATCGCAGGAGAAGCCGGTGTCGGGCACGGAAGCCAAGATGGGGTAGTCCTCGCCGGGGACGCCGCCCCCTGGAATGTTCTCACTCAGAGCGGCGATCTCAGGGTCTACTCCGTATCCGCCGTTGGCAGTCCATAGGAGTTGCTTGGTGCTGAGTAACCATTGCTTGGGGCACCGAAACCGTTTGAGGCTCCGTTCGCAGCTCCAAAGCCAAAACCGTTTGAGAACCCTCCGTTCGGGGCTCCATAGGTATTGGATGGCGGTATATCTGCGGAGATTACGCTCACCAGACCTAAAAAAAGAAGACAGGTGAGTATATGAATCCTAAATTCTGTCATCGTTATTGAAGACCGCATGTATGCAAGCGTGTCTTTTAAACGCACTTACCACAAAGCAGTATTATTCTCATACTGATCTCGTTGAAGAGCACAACGCAAAATGGAAAAATGGAAAATGTGTCTGAAGGCGAGGAAAGGAGTGAGATGAAGTGAGCTTCTTTTGACTCGACTTTTATAGCCGGCGTCTGACTTTTATAAGCGAAATAAGACCCAGGTGAGTATATGAATCCTAAATTCTGTCATCGTTATTGAAGACCGCATGTATGCAAGCGTGTCTTTTAAACGCACTTACCACAAAGCAGTATTATTCTCATACTGATCTCGTTGAAGAGCACAACGCAAAATGGAAAAATGGAAAATGTGTCTGAAGGCGAGGAAAGGAGTGAGATGAAGTGAGCTTCTTTTGACTCGACTTTTATATGAGCTGCTTCTTTTTCCACTCTCACTTTATTTCAGCAATTTCTTGGTTGTTTATTGAAATACAGCAACACATGTTGATCTCACGCTTTTATCGTGAAAAGAAAAGAAAAGAAAAGAAAAAATCCTTTGTTAGCTTAGTCATTCTTGTTATATTGCTGATATAAATACCTTGCATTATAGAAAAGTTTGCTCCAGTGTATGGCTGTGTATAGACGTCAGCGTATTTACATTTTTGTCTCTTTTTCTGCGTGGGGAGATAATCATATAGCTAAAATTACTGAGAGGCGAAGTCACATTTAAACATGGACACACAAGAGAAATTAATTGTTCTAGAACATGGCGACTGATAACTGCGTAAGGTATAATAGTAAAATCATGTCAACGAATGAAATGAACTTACAAATTTACTGAAAGGAGAACCTATAATGATCATAAAAATGTGATGCCTGATCTTCTTTTACCTTTGCCGATGACGTTATATGTTTCTCTGATATATATATATATATATATATATATATATATATATATATATATATATATATATATATATATGTGTGTGTGTGTGTGTGTGTGTGTGTGTGTGTGTGTGTGTGTGTGTGTGTGTATACACACATATATACATCCATATAAATATATGTATATATATTTTATATGTATACTTTATATATATAACATAATATACATACACACACACACACACATACACACATATTCATTGTACATATTTATCTATATATATATGTACACTGTATGTGTCAGTGTATCTGTGTGTTTGTGCATCCACCTTTACACTAATAAATGTATGTCTAGTGTTTCTAGAAGTAGTTTTATATGCCCATCTCGGCCGTCTAAAGCAGTATGCCTTTGTAGGCGGATCAAAGGAAAGACGAAATGAGGACTGCCCTCATTTCGAGGCACGCCTTGTATAGGCGGCAAACGTGCCTAAACGTTTCATGATACGGTCATGAACTCATGGCTGAGACTTAGTCTAGATAGTCGTACTATCATCAAAAATGGTTTTAGTCTAAAATGCCTATCATAAAAAAAAAGTTTACAGAGTCAGAAGCTCTTAAGTAATATGCCCTTAGAGATCCTTTACCCATGGTGTATAACTATACTCTTTATATCGACTATTCATCGAGGGTTTAGTGGAATTCCAAGAAGACCGGCGGTGATTGATCTGTGACTGACCAAGCAATGCAGTCAGCAGTGAAAGCCTTCGACTGTGGGCAGGTTAAGGATGCAAGTTGACCAAATATCAGGTTGGACTACGGAAGTAAGAATTCTGGTACTAATTTGTATAATTTTGAAATATACTTCGGTGATTTCCTTTCAAAACTTTTTAATCTATCTATCTATCTATCTATCTATCTATCTATCTATCTATCTATCTATATATATATATATATATATTATATATATTATATATATATATATATATTCCAAACAAGCTTCCTGAAGCACATTTACTTAATCAGACTTGTAAAACACAGTAGAAGCAATACCTTAAAATTCTGATTGAAGTTAAGTGCATTATCTACCATCCATGTCTTTTTATATTTTAGATTGAATGATATAAATTTTACGTAATATCCGCTGTTTGAATTGAATAGCATACGGAAATAGAGGAGGTGCTGGTAAACTAATATTTATCTCCAGGTCATAAACATGCTCTGTTTCTTCCTCTCTAAATTTCTTCCAGGATGTTAGGTTTTGTGGAAGTGGATGGTGCCCTGAAGCATCTTGTAATTTACCTTTGAGGACAAGGTTATTTCATATTCCTTTTAGATATGTATTATGGTTTCAGAACTAAAAATGAAGCAAAAACAAACATAAGCAAACAAAAAACAAGGGCAATGAGAATGGCCACCTATGGTAAGAGATCACGCAGGTAAATAGATCATAACGTAACTTAACACCTGTGGAGGGATTAACAATTCTCTGTAGTTATGGTACTTTTCCTTCAACAGCTTTTTAGTATATGAAGCTCTTGACATTTTCTCTTTACTTTTACTGCATACAGGCATCGTTGTAATGCATATCCTATTGTATGTAGGAATTTATGAAATATCAAAAGTTGAGAGAATGATTTTTTTTTCTCTTTTTTTTTTTTTTTTTTTTTTTTTGTATTTACTCTTCCATGCAACTAGGCATACGGACATTACAGAGCAGATATTGCATGCAGGAATCATATACTTTCGAAATCTTTATATCTTCAGGCACAAGGAAATGAGGTTTGTGGAAACAACAGAATAGTTATTTGATATTTATTCTTGCAAAAATATAGATTCTCTACCAAGCGCTGAAATATACATGCGTTTACTGAGGAGAGCCAGTTGAGGAGGCGAACGAGAGTCCGTTTAGAAAGGAGCGCCGTAGGAGGCAGAAGGGGCGGCAGGGACTCCGTTGCCGTTCCCATTGCCATTGAAGCCATTGCCGTTGTATCCGTTGCCATTGCCGTTGAAGGCGCTTCTTCCATTGCCGTTTCCGTTACCATTAAAACCATTGCCATTGTATCCGTTTCCATTCCTTCCATTTCCATTTGTGCGGAAACCATTGCCATTGTATCCGTTTCCGTTGAAAGCGCTTCTTCCGTTGCCATTTCCATTACCATTAACACCATTTCCATTTGTGCGGAGACCATTACCGTTGTATCCGTTGCCATTGCCGTTTCCGTTACCATTACCATTTACACTATTGCCGTTATAACCGTTTCCATTACCGTTGCCGTTCCTTCCATTGCCATTGTACCTGTTACCATTTCCATTACCGTTGAGACCATTTCCATTGACACCGTTCGCTCCGTTGCCATTAGAACCATAGCCGTTCCTGCCATTGCCATTGGAGACTCCGTTGCCGTTGCCATTAGCAGCGTAGCCGTTCCTGCCGTTGCCGTTGAAGCCATTGGCACCGTTGCCGTTGCCGTTTGAGCGATATCCATTTCCATTAGTGGCTCCGTTGCCATTCCTTCCGTTGCCATTGGAACCGTATCCGTTAGCTCCGTTCCTTCCGTTTCCGTTCCCTCCGTTGCCGTTGGATCCATATCCGTTTCCGTTTCCGTTGAGGAGGCCGTTGGTGGCGGCAGCATAAGCATAACCGGCGTCGGGAACGACTCCGATGAGCTCGTTGACGGAGTAGAAGCTCTCAGCTTGAGAACAGTCCACGTTGAACCACCAGTCACATACCAGGTACTGCTGGTTGAAGATGGTACCGTTGGGGCACAGGAAGGAGTCCTGTTGGCGCCTGAGGGCGCGGTCCTGGCAGATATGGAACACCTGGCAGCCGGCTTCAGCTGCAGTGTCGGCGTAATAACCTTGCACCGCTACAGCATCGCAGGAGAATCCGGTGTCGGGCACGGAAGCCAAGATGGGGTAGTCCTCGCCGGGGACGCCGCCCCCTGGAATGTTCTCACTCAGAGCGGCGATCTCAGGGTCTACTCCGTATCCACCATTTGGCAGTCCATAGGAGTTGCTTGGTGCTGAGTAACCATTGCTTGGGGCACCGAAACCGTTTGAGGCTCCGTTCGCAGCTCCAAAGCCAAAACCGTTTGAGAACCCTCCGTTCGGGGCTCCATAGGTATTGGATGGC